TGACTAATCGTTCAATGTGATGATTACCATAAATCTAGAGTTGAAAAATATACATTTTGTGCTTGCTTTAATAGCATCAATGTCACTATTTGTGTATGTGGGGCATTTTCTTCTTCATGACCAGATTATAACAGAAGCTCCCCTGAAGCTAGTCGTTGTTGTCCAACTTGCATCCAATGTGTTTCACTGATCCCAAGCACCTCTAGGTTGTATCTCCGCATTTCTGCAGCAATTTGGAAAACTCTCCCACATTGTACGGGCATTTCATGTACCTAAATAAATGGTTCCTCTGGTTGTCAAAAAAGGCACCAGTTTCGTGGCTTCCGAAGAAACTCAGCTTTCACGATGAGACGTCATAACTCTTTTAAATCAAAACCTTCTGACTCCCAGGGCATAGTTTAAGTGGTTTGAATAATTTTTTCTGTTGAGTGTTTTTTTAGCAAGTTGGTTTTTCACGGGATAAGGTCACTAACCCCATGCTCAACCCTCCTCCTTTAGCCGGGCTTGGGACCGGCAGCAGCCCCAGAAAGGCTCCAGGTGGAGTTGTTATCATACACAGTAAATGGATAAGCAAAGTATTGCAATTTCTTCTATTAACTTATTTACATTGGCTATTGGTTATTGTTACTGAAAAGTTTCTATGATAAAGAAATTTTCACAGAGGTGTAAGAAGGATTTGACTGTGACCAACTTGGTCTCGTGTGTTGTTACAGGTATAAGGGTTGATGTCACTTCCAGGCTGCCCACACCATGAAAGGGTATCTATTAGGGAACCTGAAAGGGAAGTTGGATTAGTATTGATCTTAAAGACTTGGGAGCGTGACCGCAGAGCCCAAGGGATAACTGCTTGAGACCGGTCACGCACGGTCTTTTCATGGGAAGTTTTCGATGTGCTAGCTCCGTTCTTCAGAAAGCCTAACCGCTAGAGACGGAAACCTGTGAGGTAAGGTGAGGTGTGACATTTTTAGGGTCGACCTTTTCTAACCCCTTCCTTCCTTGTGAGAAGGCAGGATTGCTGCAGATGCTAGTTGTCCAAAGGAAACACCTTACTGCTGTCACACCGCTCTACAGTCAGCAGTACAACTTCGCCCTCAGACCTTGAGTTGCTGCTTTTAGACTTACCGTTCTTCAATCAACCTGCCTGGCATGGTAGAACCTACAGGAACATATGTTCCAGCCAATATAGCTCGGTTTGGTCATCACAGAAATTTTAAACAATACCACAACAGACAAATCTTATAAATTCGGGCAATTTTAAAGTTTATATAATAAAGACGAATAATGCTACACATAGAAATAACTATGTAAACCATTAAACTAATTTACTTTAAATGTGTAACTTTCGATTTTTTTGGTTTTATCTAAATAGAGAATATCATACTAGTCAAAATGATTGTTATTACTGATAAGTAAACTAAAGTTATTACTGTATACCAAAACTAAGGGATAAACTAATAAATATTTAAAGCATAAATCTGATATCACTGGTTGAGAAGGCGAAATCCAATTCTCTTTCTCATTGTAATTCTTGTTCAATATTACTTCCGTTTTTAATTCTAAATGATGATTATTTGGAATAATATTTGTGTTTATTTTTCAATGTGATATTTTATTTGGTATAACATTAATTCAATCGAGGGTGATATTATTTCAGGAAATGATACTCAACATAATAGACAGCATGTGACTTTGTTATAACCCTGGGTACTTTTTATATATGTGCTTTTATTCTAATCCAAAATCAAAATAAGTTTTTAATCAGTGTATATTGAGTGTATTTTTAACTACGGTTGTCGTGTTTTTTGGGGGGTTGATAAATCTTCACTTGTATCAGTCTTGGTGTTCTTCCATGGCGTTATGAGAATTACGGTAGTTCCTCGTTCTTCCAATTATAAGAATAAGGGACATGGATACAACAAGATGACAACATTATACACTACAAGAAATAGATGTCGTCCATCAATAAAAATTACTTATTGTTTAATAATAAAAACACTTTTATTATCCATCGACTAACATTTATGTACACTATAATTCTCCAAAGTATCATTAATGGTTGTACTGCTTAATTAATGAAAAAAGGATATCTGTTTCATGATTATATTTATCACTAATCTAGAGTTTATAGAATATAATCACAGTTATCATTGTACAATAATTCTCAGTAGTAATATTGAAATATTCAACTTGAAGTAACTAGATTGGCGGGACCCTAATTTATGGACGACTTTTGAACGAATTTTACGGGACCTTGAGAATATTAGCCAATCATCAAACAGTCAGTATAGAGTAAAAATATGTTATACAAAACCAAGGAAATAAAGTGGATACATTTCTTATACGTTGTTCAAAAAAATGTCGTGGTTAGAAAGAGGTTCAGAGGTTCTAAAATCGTAATGTATGCAGTAGAGGGGATCATCCATATGGTTACAGAATAATCGGCCTCTGGAGCCATGATAAAGTCTCAAAAACTCTTTCAGCCTCGACCACAGAGCTTCAATATTGTTTGTGTGCACTTCGGTTGTTGAGTGCACAAGATGCTACTTTCGGATAACGACACGATGCACATAATCAAGCCTTTGTAGGAGTCTGTACGCTCTCCAATTACCTGTACATATTGTAGTACCCGCCTGCAGCCAGTGTAACCGGTGCTTTTATTATCCAGTTCGCGATAACTGTCATAATTTGCCTCAGTTAGGAATTACATATGGGGTTTTCATCACGAACTGACATCAGCTATAATACCAGAAATTTATTTAGCCAGATGGGTGAAAGGCTTTCGTACTCATCCATAAATTAGTCGCGCCACTAGATTATATATATATATATATATATATATATATATATATATATATATATATATATATACACGCAAATCGGGTCTTTTTTCAAAAATGTCACACAATTTTGAATGCCTTTAAATAACAAACACTATTATACAGTGGTGTGTGCTACTAATGTCGATAGATATAAGTAGTATGTCTCACCAATCGAAATTGAAGTACCTGGAGGCAGAAAGTTAAGAAGATCAAAGAAAAAAGAACATGAACAATGAATGATTGGTGTGGAAACAAAGGAACTATGAAGTCTGAAACGATTGACTGATATTTTGCTAATGAAGTATTTACTGAATGGTTTTCAAATTTTACTAAGATATTTTGTAATTTTGTATTCAAATACATTCAAATACAACACTAACAAATTCTATATCTTGATATTAATAATAAATGTACTTGTCCTTTCAAGTAATCAGGAATGTATATGGTAAGAATATGCAACGACCTTCACTAAACACACGAATGACTTTCATAATACTTAATCAAAAATAGAAAATCAAAATTCAACTTTCATGTAAGAGCCCCAAAATATAGAAAGGCGATAGAAATACAGAAGATGAGGAGTTTTAAATTAATTATTGAACTTATTATCGATTATTATGATTTTGGCCCCACATCTTTTAAGAGCTCACTCCTAGCTCTACAACCCCTCTACTCTACTTTCTAACCGTGGAACTCTTGAACCCTAGCTCCTAATTCTAAAACTTTTAGACCCTGGCTCCTAGCATTTCAAAATCTTGACTCCAACTCCTGATCTTCAAATCTATCGACTTCAGCTACTATCCTCTAAACGTCTTAACCGTTATACTTCATATTACTTCATGTCACCAATATTTCCAACCTTAACCCTAGTGTTGTATCCCGACGAGAATTATTAATGGTAGCTTTTAAGGACTATTTATGGACCAATACGATGCATATATTTTTATTGTATGATTGTTAAGCAGCTAAACTGTGCATATTCATGTTCCTATTATTAAAAGCTTTATGTTGACCCATAGACTATTATTATGCCATTTACTATTCTTGAGTTATGCCCAGTCAATTAATTACTATCTCCCATATTCACAGCCACTTTTGGCTAGATCTTGTACAAATGTTATTTTCCATTTTACAGTACTATGTGGTCTGCTTGATTTGTATATAAACTCAGTATGCTTGAAGTAAATGATTCATATTGCAGAGACTGAGATTGGTGTTCTGGATTTAACTGATTGTGCTAGGCAAGAAGCAGGACGAATAAAGACTCTAGACTGCTCGTACGCGTTTTATGAGCCATTAGTCCAGTCGGTAAATCACTGTTCTCTAATTGGCAGTATCATTACGTTGTATATTAGTAAGGCACGAGGCCGCAAGTTATAACACTTAACTTCTAACCATTAAACTCCTTAACCCTAGATCCTAATCCTAAAAACTTCTAAACACTAAGTTTTAACCCTAATACTTCTAACCTAAACTCACTTAACCCAAACATGTTAACGATAAAAGTTTATTCCATGAGTAAACTATCATTCAATCTTTTCGAAATATCATAAGTTTTAATAATAAACTATCTCCAACCTTGTTATAACTTGTGACTGTGGATTAGACGCAGTGAACTATCGATCGAACCAAAGACGCGTAAAACACGTAAGAACGACCTAGAGTCCTGATTGGCCCTGCTTCCCTGTCTAGCCCAGCCAGTTAAGTTCAGAAGGCAAGTCTCAGCCTCTGAGATATGAATCATTATATTTCAAGCATATTGAGTTTAATATACCAAACAAACCGACCACAACATACCAATAAAAAATATGAAACAACATTTGTACAAGAATTAGCCAAATGTGGCTGTGAATGAGGGAGGTAGCGATTAACAGACAGGGAATAATTCAAGAATGGTTAATCGTCTAATAATAGTACATACGTCAAAATATGGCTCATAATAAGAGGGACATGAATATGAACAGTTTAGTTGCATAACGATTATACGATAAAAATATACTCATAATATTGGTCCATAAATGGATCCCAAAAATTATCATTCATTATTCTTGTCAGGATACAACAAACATCATTTTAAAGTTGAACATTGATTAACTTGATTTTAATGAATTGCTCAAAGTCTTAATTTATAAACATGTAATATCTTTAATTATTTCTATATTTTATTTCTATTATTTTTAGGTACGAATAATGATTTGTATAAGTTGGATATTTCCAGCAACATTATTCACATTACTTATATTTGGTTGGTCATATATAACTGGTGAAACACAACGTGATATCACTAAATGTGATGTATCATTTACATATTATCCAATATTTAATACAACATTAACTATAGGCTATTTTTGGATTACATTAATTATTATGTGTAGTTTATATGTTGGTATTTATAAAGTAGCACGTAGATTACAAAAAAAATCATTAGAAAGTAATAAACGTTTAGTACAATTTTTAACAAAAATTGATCAAGATTCAATACATTCACAAAGTAATCAAAATTCATTAGATGATAATAATAATAATGATAATGATAATAATAATGATAATAATGATCGGAAACATTCCAAATCAAAAATTATTAAAGAAAATATGAAACGGTATCGTGATCGAACAAATAAACATTTTTATTATGAATCTAAATCAAATCATAATCAATCATTTGATGATGTCATAGATTGTAATTTGACATTCAATGAAAAATGTAAATATGATCCAATTCAACAGTAAGTACGATTGATCAATTAATTATAAAAAAATTTTTTTTTAAAAACTATTTTGTTATCAGAATGGGTTTTGTGGAAAGTTTTAGAAATTTCAATAGTTGGAATCATGAGTCAATTGAAGCTAGACCACCATGGAAAACCTGGAACACGCGCGAAGCCAGTAGGTCCTGGGTTCGAATCCCGCTGGATGCGGCGTCGTGGATGCGCACTGTTGAGGAGTTCTATACTAGGATGAAACGGCCGTCCAGTACTTCCAGGTTTTCCATGATGATCTAGCTTGAATTGAATCATGATTTTGACTATTGAAATAATTTATTAGCAGATTTCCATTATTTATCTTTTATATTTTGTGTGATTTTTCCAGTTCACAATCACATTCTAGTTCTTTTTCTATTCTTTTCAATTAGATCTTAAACTTCTGTTGCTAGATTTTGCGTATTCGATTAGTGTTATATACTACTTATGTCGACAGGCTTTTTAGCATACATAACAATATTATTATCGATTGTATAGGACTAATGTAGAACTCAGTATATATCAGTCAGTCAGTAACAACGTAGAACTTTGTACGTACGTACATCAGTTCAAGTTGCCACACCACATTAGCACAGAGATGCAGTGGTCGATTCAAATCCCGTAGTGGTAGGGGTAATAAGAGTATAAGCAATAATCGGAAAGATTAGTGTTTGGAGATGTTACTTAAAGAGTAGAATACAGTGAAATAAACTTGGGAAGAGAGAAAAAAAGAGACAAGGGAGGATCAGGAGATCAAAATTTGGGAGAACACAAAGAGTGGATGCACCTGCGCTATTGCAAACGATTTTGAGCCACGTCATTCAAGGTCTCTAACCATCGGTTGCTATCATCTCGCGGTCCCCAACCAGGTAGTCTACACCTACCAACATGACTCAGACCACTTGTCAGTGACTTCATGGACTTGAGCCATGTTTTGGTCTGGCCACCCCTAGCTTTCTTTCAACCTACTCCTATACCACTGAACATCGCACGTCGAGGCAGTCGGTGGTTGGGCATACGTAACACGTGTCCCAGCCATCTCAACTGATGAAGTTTCACTACTTCATCAATTGATTTGCCATCCTTACCTAGTACCCGTTTCCTAACAACTGTGTTACTTACTCGATGGTCCCATGATATACGAGCAATGTTTCGAAGACACCTATGATCGAATACTAGTAACCTACGAATATCCTCTACTCTTACCGACCATGTTTCACTTCCATAAAGTAGGACGGGACGAACTGCTGCGCAGTAAACCCATCCTTTGGTTGATAGACGGATATCTCGCCTACGCCATAAATGACGCAAGTTGGCAAAAGCTAGTCGAGCCTTCTGTATCCGTGCTGAGATTTCGTCACACACCAGACCACAAGGGCTGATGAGACTTCCAAGATAAGTGAAGCGGTCGACACACTCAACTACTTCACTCCCTATCACTAGTTCGGGTGTCGATGTAACCCAATCCTGAAGCAACATTTTGCATTTCGAGGGAGAGAATCGCATCCCGAACATGCTTGCATTGTTGCTTAGAGTGGTCAGAAGACTCTGCATTTTGTCAGCATCTTCGCCAAATAAAACTATGTCATCGGCATATTCTAAGTCATCATCAAAGTAAATATTTTCTGAGATATATTTTGATTAATATAGCTATGTGATCTAAACAATTATCCTGCTACTGGATCAATCACAATTAATCATTCAGTCATTTTCTTGTTGTAATTAAAAACTTGTTATAAATATACACATAGTTGTATTTTGGCCAGATTATACATTGTGGTCACAGATCATGTGTATCTTCTGATATTTTTTGTTAATTCAATAAGAAATCCATATTAGGAGAGGAATATTCAAGTATATGTACTGCCGATTAGTGGGTTATCAGTTCGAATATATCCATCTTTTCATCACATTGACCCACTCAGTCACGTTAGTTATAACTTTTCTGAATCAAGTTTTATCTTTTATCAGAGATTATTCAGAGGTGATGGAGAATTCTTGACGTTCCGAATGAGGATCTTAAAGCTGATATGTCGTTTGAACAAAATGGTTGCAGCCTAGAGTAAACAACACCACAAATTACTTAATTTTGTTTGTTTGGAACCTGTTCTTATTTATATCTTCCTATAAAAACGACAGATAATCTTACTTACTTACACTTGTTATACCTTGTGGAGGAGCAAAGGCCGTCCACCAGCATTCTCTATCCAACTCTGTCCTGGGCAATACTTTCCAGTTTCTATTCATCCTTCTCATGTCTGGTTACAATTCTTGATGCAGTGTATTCTTCGGCCTCCTTCTAACCCGTTTCGTTTCCGGATTTCAAGTTAGCACTTGCTTCGTAATGCAGTTTGATGATTTATGCAATGCGTGTTCTATCCACATCCAACGTCTTTTCCTAATTTCCTCTTCAACTAGAAACTGATTTGTCGTCTCCCACAGAAAACAATGATTAAGGATCATTACAACCTAGCAACTCAGCATAATTTCTAAGTATGAAATTGTATGAATCGAAGAGCTGGTCAGATTTTTTTCTAATAATAAACAAACTATAAATAATATCAGTTATATATTTATAACCAACAGAGGATTCTCTTTAATATAAAGCTGAAAAGCCAGTGACTAGACAGAATTTTTTATTCTTAGACGTCAACCAAGGAAAGTAATATTCGAATGATTAAGAAACTAACTAACCATCTACTGCTTCTATGAAAGCATTACTATTAGTTCAGGATACATGTACTCTCCTATATATAACATAAATAAGCAAACATGGATAGTGATTAGCAGTGGAATTCAGGACGTACATTTCGTCAGCTGGATGTACCAGTATCGCAGAATTAATGTCCATTCCAGGACTCGAACCCAATACCGTTCACTTCAAACTTCATTCTGCTATCCAGTTAGCTGTTGAATCGATCTTTGCTTAAAAAGCTATTGAATTAATATCGAGGTAATACACACAGTATGCACATATACCAATAAGAGATTGATCAATTCCAGTCCTAAACATCAATGAGAAGATTCAAGTGAATTTAACATTGATAACTAATAAATAATCAATCAGTATAAAAAATTAACATTATTTTATCATTTATTTCTTTCAGAAATTTATTAACAACGGTTAATAATAATCAACATAACTCATTCAAAGAATCATCTTTCATAGAAATTAATTCAAAATGTAATTATCCTATAAGCAATAATAATACAAATAAATCTCATTTTGAATATGGAAGTGAAACTAGTGGTTGTTCAACATTTTATCCAACAAATAATAATAGTACTGAAAGTAAAACACAATTATCATCAATCATTGAAAGATCACAGTTACTTCCAACGATAGATATAACAAAAAAATATGAAGATATAAAATATAAAATTTCTAAAAATGAATCATTATCATCTATATCTGATGAATATTTAACATTATCATCTGTAAATGTTTATATACCATCACCAAAAGTTCCTATCTCATCACCAATTCAAAGTAATCAATCAATATCTTCAAAATATATAGAATCAGATAATAGTTCCCCGGTATGGATTAAAAAAGATGCTTATTATGATTCTGGTTTAAATTTATATGTATATGATATATGTCCACAATTAATGAAATGTCAAACATTTATTCATGATGGAAATATGTGTCAACATAGTATTTATTTATCAGATTCAACCTCATGGAATCAATGTATTCAATCATGTTGTCTGTTAGAAAAAGTAAGTTACCATTTAAATTAAGATGAATGCTATTCGATATTATTTTATGTATCAAATATTTAATTGATGTTTAGTTCAGAAAATTTCATAGATTGTAGTGGTTGTGCTTCGTTAACCAATCACTCTCGTAACCGTTATCATATAATCCTCAACGGTGTTTGAAATTAGAAGGCAAAGAGAAGCAGCGACTACAGTTTTATTAGCAGATAACTCAGACCACGAAGCAATGATGCGAATGGGTGAGTCAGCGAACCGAAAGTGTAGAGTGTTAAATGTACATATACATATATAGGGAAATGAATGGATCATCGAATCATTTAAGCAGCTAATAATAAAGCTAGCAGAATGAACATATGTGTAGGCGGTAAGCAATGTTCAAGCACACACATTTCATACAAGCACAACAATGATAAGTGTTGTAACGTGACTTCAGATTATGGAGCAGCGTATTTATCGATCGATTCAGTGACACGTAAACACGTAATGAACGACCTAGAGTCCCGATTGACCCTGCTTCGCCGTTTAGCCCAGCCAGTTGAGTTCAGAACACAAGTCTCAGCCTCTGAGTTATGAATCATTATATTTAAGACATACTCTGTTTATATACCAACCAAACAAACCACATCGTATCGTAAAATAGGAAACAACATTTACATAATATTTAACTAGTGAAACAAGTATCGACCAATAGGGAGTGTACATTTAAAGTCCAAGGTCACCATTAGACTTAACACGATAATTATTGGTATATTTTTCTGAACATCCTAACAATAAGGGTACAATAAGTTGTTATAGTACGGATAACTTTGTCCGCCAAACAAGTTAGCAAAAGGGCTTAACTGAGTTAAATGAGAACAAACTCAATTGCACGAGAGTTGCTATAAGATCTATCTAAATATTCAATAGTTTTCTATTCAATGTCATTGATCAAATTATTACTTATTATTGTAAGCTTTCTACTTTTAAATAATGAATTAGGATTGTTTTATTTAGCTATCCATGATCTATACTTTATAGAATCAAAGCCATATCATCACAAACAAAAATTTAAATTTAGTAACATCCTCTAGGATTAACCTCATTTTATCCAAGTATTCTTGGTGGTTGTGTAGTACTGCACCAGCTCCTTTGTCAGAGCTAATGCTCCTGAAAAGATAGAACTTAAATGTCTTGCATTCTATCTCTCATGATATTGTGAATGCAGACTGCTAAGTCATAAATTGGGACAAAATAGCTATCTAATCTAGTCAGTAAACTAAGAATATTATTATACACAAATAAGATATTTGTAATATCTCAATGAGTAGAAAAATTAGATTTTCTGACGTAATATTCTTGTTGTGCCGTTGTACTATTTAAATTTGAATAATTTTGGTTTGGCTATTTATTTATTCTCTAAAGAAGTGGCTTACACAAAGTCATGAAACATCAGAAAATCTAATTTTTCTACTCATTGGGATATGACAAATATATTAATTAATTCGTACCAATCTATCCTATGCTCAGTTTATTCGACATTATCAAGTCAAACCTTGGTAATGAAACCTAAGAATATTATTGTATCAACCTGGTACTAGGTTAATTTCTATCTAGTACTCTACAAATAATCCATTTCACTCAACTTGACGTAAATAAGAACAAAATTCTAAGCAAAGACGAAATAAAATGTGTAAAAAACAAAAATAGAAGAAGCCATTTTCTATCATTTCACATTCATTATTAAACTTCAATTAATGAAAAGTAAACAAATAAATATATTCATATTTGTTGTCACATTAGCCATACGAAAATTCAAACCCTCTTTGTGTATTCAAAAACAGTTTGTTCTCACTTTAAACCTACCCCGATAATATTGACTTATTAACCAGAGTGATTAGGTTTCAAATTATGTTCACATTATTATTATTGCGCTTATTATTATTATTGTACTTGTCTCCTCTTACCCCATTTCCAGTCTAGTTGACCTTTTACTTTTATATATGAATGTTCATATCAAGTATATGTGTGATCAGTTTGTTCGAAATGTATTGTGCTAATATATCATCATATAGTTCTGATAATCTTCGTCTTCTTATTACATGATCGAAATTTATCAAAGGGACTAATTGCTTTAAACACATAATCATTAAAAAAGCAATCTTTTTAGTATATATATATATATATGAAAACATTTAATAGGTTTCGTTTTTCACTGTGTAAAAAAAGATGAACTCATTTCTATAAAACGAGCTGATGAGCTACTTATATTCATATCAGTAGTATATAATATATTTCATAAGAAGATCGAAAAGGAAAGAACGGGAAGCAAAAGAAATTGATATGAAAATGCATAAACAATAAAATCTGAGACAATGGACTGATATTTACAAAAGGAACAATCAAGTTTGACACGATCGATTGATATTTTGCAAATTATCTATTTACTATATGGCTCCAAGATTTTATTGAGATGTTCTGTCATTTTGTATTCAAACACGCTTAATTGTTACTACTCGTATTCTTGTTCACTAAAGTATTAATTTCATTTCCAGTTCTTTTTTTAATTTTATTTTAATTATTAAACAATAATAGTGTGAATATTCAGATTATACAACATCAAGTGATGATCCCAGTTCAACATTATATAATCAATCAATAATTAATGATCATTGGTGTTTACGTTTTATGGATAAATGGAATAAATCTAAACGGAATCGAACTATTAAATCACCTTGTTTATTCAATCAAATAAAACATAATTCATTATTATGGTATAAATCTAATGATAAATCATATTTAACTGAATATCAACTTAATTCTAATGTTAATCCTAATCAAGAAATATGCCCATTTTGTCAAATATATAAAGATAATAATAATAATAATAATAATAATAAGTTTATTCAACAAGATAAATCAAAACAAAAATCTGGATTTCAACTAATAGTAGAACAGATCAAATTCAAAGTTCAATATTATTGTTGTAGTTGTTGTTGTATTCTATCATCCAAACATGTAAATATTCCTTTAAATAATAATCCAATACAAATTCAATCGAATAGTACAACCAATAATAGTAAAACTATACATAGTAGTAGTAATAATAATAGTGATAATGATTGTATAACACAATATAATCAATTAAAAATTAAACATAATAAATTATCAATTAAAGATAAATATAAACAACAAATTAATTCACAACAACAACAACAACAACAATTACAACATAGAAAATCATCAACAACAACAACAATAACAACTAATAAACGACAAACAACTTTTTCAATATTTCAATCATTATCTAATATTGATATGCAAAATCGTAAACATGCATGTAAAGCATTAAAAACAATTAGTCTTATATTAGGTGCATTTATGATATGTTGGACACCATATCATATTATTGTATTAATTAAAGGATTTTGTGATGATATTAATACGCATAAAAGTTGTGTAAATATTCATTTATATAATCTTTCTTATTGGTTATGTTATATGAATTCACCAATTAATCCATTTTGTTATGCATTATCAAATATTTCATTTAGGCGAACATTTTTTCGAATATTACGTTGTGATTTTCAAAAAAGATAAAAAAAAACATTTGTTGAATATTCTCGTTTTTATTATTGTTGTTGTTGTTGTTGTTTTAAACAATCATTGTTTATGTATTGTGTACATTTTAAAAAAAAAAAATGTAATCATAAACCAACTATCGATATTTGTCACTCTCTTATAGATCAATTATGTTGAAATCATGAGTTCATAGAAGTTAGACTATCATGGAAAACTTGGAAGTATACTAGATGGCTGTTTCATTCTATTATGGGACTTCTTAATAGTGAGCATTCATGATTCAGCCTTGTGAGGTTCGAACACAGGACCTATCAGTCTTACGCGTGAACGCTTAACCTCTAAACCACTGAGCCGGCTGGCATCTAACGGTATTAATGTCTAACTTCGAACTAATCCATGAAATTGAGCGACACATCCATCATTGTCTTCACTGAAGTTATTATTTCACAACAGACCTGGTTAAACTATACTGGCCACTGCTTTTCACTAGGTGTAGGCAATCTTTCTGTTGTCCATTACAATATAGTACGTTAATACGACAACACAACATGGGTACTACATCAATACAATAAATACGAATTCATTATATCATTATAATAAGACATATCAAACACAGATACACTACTTACGATCGAAAATTGTGAACGAGGTTATAGAAACAGAACATTTTATTCATATAAAGTATAAGCAATTCAAACATAATGAAATCCATAATAGAAATCGATAATAGGAAAGAATGTACAATATTGAATAGCGTCTCAATATTTACCAAACCTGTGTCTGCTACTCTTTGCTCAATGGCCGCACATCACTTTCCTTGGTATATATTCAATTATTAAGTAAATTAATGAAACCAATGAATGGTAGTGTCAGTCGAACTCAATAAATGTCGCATGTCTGATAAATGGGCAAACTCAAAGAAAACTTTCTACAGTAGTTGGGGCATACTAATCTAAACCCCTTTCAAAATACTGTTTATTTATTAAAACGTAGTTTTATTTACAATTTTATTATTCAAAATATCCTACAAAAATCAGTCACCTTAGGGGTCCCTCCCACTTTGCTAGAGTCATATACAGAGAGTACTTCCACCAATTCAATTCGTTAGCAAACATCCAGACAGTATATCAGAGACCAAAAATGCACTAGGAAATGTATTGACCCTATCCAATAGAATGAACACCAACGTATTTCATCAATAAAACATGAAATGTAGAAGACAAACAAAATAAAATTTAAAGATTGTAACCTTTTAGCGTCATTTAATAATTAAGTGTAGTGGAAGGTTCAGTAGTCAGTTATTATGCTCGTTGATGCAAGACTTAAAAGAAACTTACGTTGTCACGAGATGTAACCAAATTCATTGCTATTGAGTCCTCAAATAGTAACTAAGGCCTCTGTACGACTTGATTCTAATAAAATATTGGCCAAGAGAATATAAAATGCGCGAATTCGGTAATAAATTGACGTACATTATAGATCATCATAAGATAATAAGACATAATATATACGCAACAATCAGACATGGCAAACGTTCAAACCCTACCCATACGGTTTTACCAGACCGATTAAGATATCGCGTGGTTGCTTAGTTTATTTGACACAGATTTGATGAGAACCGGGTCTAGTTCTTCATTAGCCATTGGTTCAACCACGTGGTCTATCTTTCTCGACGTTAATATTCTGATACACCGTTCGAGAACTTGATCTTGAGAGGTTAAGACTATCATCCTGTATTTATGTCACTTGAATGCGTATAGCGATAGCGGATACTGATCATTATGAATAACATCTAGTGAATCATGTTACATTCATCCATTTCCGATCTTAAAGAGTCAAGGATTAATGACTAGGTAGTGTTATGTGACTATTTAGCCTGATGCTTCAGCACAGCAACTCACTGTATTAACCAAAAAATGGGATGAGTTAACTAAAAGACAGCTCCAATCTACAGTTTTGTTACTATAGATGGTTCCTTAGACTCACAGTCAGAGTAGAGATTTAACTGCGGTGACTGAAAACAAAAAGGCCATGAAACATTACTACTTACTAATTTATGGTATTTGTACTAACTGATGTTTTCTTTTTGACTGATTCGGCAGCTAATCCGAAATTCAAATATAATATGTTCAGTTGTGCACGTTGAGTTCTCTTTGCCCTAAATTGCACTATTCTGGGAATTCGTAGTACACCAATCGGACTACTTCCGATTCGCATATAATCGCAATAATAGGGACAGTTTTTACTTGATAATATTATGGTCCATTATCTGTTTATACAATACTTATAGATATATATTTGAAGACAAGTCAGTACTGTCCCTGAAGCATTTTTCACAACTAGAGAGTAACACCACGTGATGCCGAAAGCCGGCAGAATGAGGATACCTCAATTGGTATTGCCGACTTAGAACTACGGATTCGGTATCTTGCACTTGTCTTACAGATGTCCCAACGGCTTTTATACCACATATCATTTGTCGATGCTGGGATTGGATGGAAAAGAACCAAGAGTTGCCAGTTCATCATATAACGCCATGGAACGAAAGATAATTCTAGACAACTAGCATTATTTTGTCAATCACAGCCATGATATTGACACCCTAAAGAACATACAGCTAACACGACCCTATTGTAATTTCCCATTATATTCTTCATTACGAAAGATGAAACTTCATAACTGAACGAAATATATTTTGTTTCTTAAAACCGAAGTGTATCATTTAGTCAATAATGAACTCGTTTAGATATTTATCTTATGATCTTTTGCTTTTCCGTTTGTACACATCACTCCACTTTGTATGGGATATTTTTTGTCCCCCATGTAGAAAACTGTTACAAATAAGATGAAGGCTAATAGTAAGCGACAAAGCTCTCCAACATCTCATACAACACAGCTAAAAAATATTGTTAATACTATGTTGGTGTTAATTTAGCTTTATAAGCGTTATGGAGAGAAATATTAGTTTTTGATATGTTCTTCAAGCATCAAAAACCCATTTGACATCTTTTATATTGTTGAATGGTTCAAAAACACCACCCAAATCCCAATACTGAAAGAGATCATCAAGTAACTGGCGCCAAATGAAACTAGCTCGGTTCAACATTAATCACTATATATTCCCATTAAACTCCATTGATGTTCTAAAAAATAGATTAGGAATAATAGTCGGGGGGGACTTTCCTTTACTCAAACAATCTCTAACAATACAAATAGCAATTATGAAGTTGAGTACTTGAACAATCAAAGAATGTACATCAAAAGCAACTCTAACGGGATTTTACTCCTTATATTGTAACTCTAATATGGAGGAAATTAATAAGACACTCATCAACAGTATGCACCAAACTCGTTAGTAAATTTGTTGAACAATAACGCTCTACAGGTTACGTAATAACGTGATTTAATATGACGATAAAAGGTTACTGCTCACAGAAGTTTAAATAACCTGTAAAATCTTCCCAAAACCTACCTTCACAACTCCATCAGAAGATAAACTATGAACAACAGGCGAAGTTCAGTAGTAATATACCTGTCATTACAGTTAAGATACTAAAGGAACCTAACTGGTTGCAACTAAAACGAATTTCACACTACAGATGTTGGCTGCTACGTTACAAAGTGATCGTAATGGAGACTTATTAATTCTTTAACTTATAAATATTAAGACATAATATTCCTTAGTACTTTTTATTACTCCATTTCACATACTCTTCAACTGTTTTTTCTATTATCTGGTATTATTTTAAAATCCTTTACTTTCCTCTCGTTGTGTTAATACACAGGGTAGTAATTTGAACTGATACATATTCATGTTGATTCGTATGCTTTTATGTTCAAATAATTGACTAGCGCGATGCTAATGTGCATTTTAGGTACACCTTTAATCATATCTAATCAAACATAAAAATAATCTGAAAGCTTATGAAAGTTGACATAATTTATGACGATTTAATGGGTATAAATACAATTCTAATAAATATAATACTACATTAAAAAGAGCAAGCAAATATTTTGATGATCAAACGTCACAAGCCTATTTATCGTAAACAATCAGAACCCTCTTCAAAAATAATTATTTTAATGCATCCTGTTCTTAGCAGTTTAATTCCGAATATAAAATTTAAAAGAAATCAAACTACCAGTTCAGTAAACAAAACTGTATTATATTAACAAAGTCTAACAATTATAAGTCTGTACAACAGAGAAGAACAACTAAACATATGAATGGTTTCTAACGAGGCCATGGATCAACTCTATGTGTGCGTATAACAAGTGAGATTTTCCTGGACATCTCAGAGTCATACACACGTTTACACCGTTCATACATGTATCTTCGTCTCCAATCAGTTGGTTTTTCATAACGTTGTTGAAAATTGACCGTACTTCTTACCTTATCAAAATGTATCATCCTGAAAATAGATGAAGAAAAAATGAAGTAAATATAAAGATAAATTTTTTTTATGTCATATTTTTAAATTTTACTTTGATGGCCGATGACGAATGGATTGAAGAACTGGGATAGCAACGTTCCTGAATGCATATTTAAGTAAATGAATTAACTGACATGCACATTAGTAATAAATAGAAACAAAGTATTGGATTTATAATGACACTGGGACAAGAATCACCAACAATTATAATGGAAATAAATTAAGAATTATACTAGACGGGTCTAATCTTTATTGTATTTGAAATGAGTCAAAACTGTTTAGTGTCATTTAATCAATATCTCAAATATTTGTAGATCAACAGATCAGTGGAATATGATAAACAGATAGGTAGACAAAGTATCCTTATAACTCAGATTACAAGAATACGAATATAAGGTATTTGAATTAATTACACTACCGAGTCCAAGTTAAATAATAGAACTGAATGCACTTGACAGACGTATGCTCATTCAGATCTTACATTCCGAAATGAGTATACAAATATATGAATCTATCAAGACAACATAAATGACCGCACTGTTATTATGATATAATCTCTTAAATTTACCCTCTACAATACATGTA